TATATATATATATAAATGCTAAACACACCATGAACACTGCCCGCTGGAAGGACTCTGTAGCATCCATGATCTTCTGCAGAGAGGTCTCGAGCTCTGCGACATTCATCTCTTTTCTATTAAAGGGTACGCCATTAAAGAGGGCTTGAGGCAATGGACCCAGGCCAGTCTTCTGATAAAATGCTGCTCCTGCCTAGACAGATCAGGGATGTCACCGTTACATGGAATGCAGCTGACTGCAGGGAAAATAAGTGATTAAATACCAACAGACAACGAACACAAACGTCCCCGTGCTGCTCTCTGGAAGGTGGGGGGCGGGGAGTGATGTATTGTTCTCGGACCACTTCCCAGAAAGCAAAACATAGAACAAAATACAGTCACATGAGAACACACACACACACACAATGTACAGAAATTGTTGTGAATTTACAAAAGACTATTTGGGTCGGCAATCTCGTTGTTTAGCTGACAGTGTCTGAATATCCGCACTCCAATCATGAAGATGTGTGTAGAGGAACATGTATCGCCCTGAGCATCATGTGACAGGCAAGCAGAACATGTCACATTCCACTTTCCTGAATTTACATATCTACATCCATGACAGGTCAAAAAAATTAGTACCTCATACTGTTATTTAGTTTTTGTTGTAAATTAATAAAATAAGGGGGGGGGGAATTAGCACCTCTGCCAATCCTTTGATTAGGGACCGGCTCCCTTCTAAGTGCTCTTTGATTTTCACTCTCTTTTTTTGTGCGTGTTTCTCCTGGCTACTCAAGAAAACCCTCAAGTGATTCTCTTCCTCACCAGTTTTCCTCACTTTTTTCAAGCAGAACAACTAGGGTTGCCAAGTGGAACTTACCTTGGCAGCGGGGGACTCCTGGGTGGATCCCGGAGCGCGCACGCTGCACACCCGTCACCAGGAAGTGACGTTATGACGCCGGGCACGCTGGGGGCGGGGCCACGACCATACAAGGGAAAACCATAGAGTTTTCCCTTGTATGGCCGTGGCCCCACCCCCAGCGTGCCCAGCATGCCCACGTCACTTCCGGGTGACGCGCACGTCAGGGAGGAGTTCCCCCCCGGGCCCGATCCGGCAGCACCAGGGAACGGGCCTCTGGGGTGGGGGTTTCCGTGCCCCCCGGGGGGACTTGGGATCCCTCAGAACAACTCCATTTACCTTTCAGAGCAGGAGATGGTCATCTGTGGTGGGACACCTGGCTAGGGACAGAATAACCTTTGATGGACCTCTTCCTTAGCAGGAAACGATGTTTTTGAGCAGGGGTCCCCACCCTTTTTGAGCCTACAACCACCTTCGGAATCCTGAGACAAAGTGGTGGGTGCAGCCACAAAGTCACTGCCACAAAATGGCTACCACAGGAGGTAGAGACAGCCACAAAATGGCCACTGCCGCTTACCTTCAGGAGCGGTGAAGATCTTTGTGCTGTGGTGGCAACTGCTGGCAAAGCAACGTTGTTAAAATATGCACAGCTGATCAGACCTCCAATGGTCAATCAGAAGCCCTGCTGGGCAAAAGCCCCACACAGCCATGCCCACTTTCTAAAAACATTTGGCGGGTGTCAGGTTGGTGGGCTCCTTGGTGATACACACACCACACTGGGGACCAGTGTTCCCTCTAAGCTGAGTTAGTGTGAGCTAGCTCACAGTTTTTTAGCCTCTGGCTCACACATTTTTGTCTTAGCTCAGTAAGGATGGCTTTAGAGCAAATTAATGTATGCAGTACCCTAATCACTTGCTCACAACTTTAATGCCAGTCGCTCACAAAGTGGAAGTTTTGCTCACAAGACTCCACAGCTTAGAGGGAGCATTGCTGGGGACCCCTGTTCCTGAGCAGAGCATGGGAGTTGTACTTCCCTCTGCCTCACCAACAGAGTCAGAAGGCCGACAACACTGGAAATCTCACATTCTGGTGAGTAATTTTGTATTTAAGGGTAAAAGTCTTGTAAGGCCTCTCCTGCTTCCTAATGAGCAGTTCCATCCCCATCCCCTTCTCAAAGGTTAGAGATTTTTGCTTGCCGAGAGGGTAGGAATTGGAAGAGCCAGCTGGCTACTAGCAGAGGTGACAGCCACCCCCGCTGAGAGCCACTGGATTCAACGGGGTCTGAACTAGACACCCAACTGGGTAAAGCTTTTAAAACTAGAGGGAGTTCATATTCTCAATGCTCCCCATTTTAACTTTGCCCGCGCCTTTGGGTGTGATGCATAACTCTCCTCCTGAAGTTCAAGATGGGTAGCCACGTCCACCTCCACGTCTGTAGCAGTGGAAGAGAGTTAAGAGTCTAGTAGCACTTTAAGGACTAACAGAATTTGTGATCAGCTTTATTTTTTCTATTTAATTCAATTTACATCCCACCCTCCCTGCCAAGGCAGGCTCAGGGCGGCTTACATTAAAAGTTAAAATACATTAAAAACATAAATTATAAACATCCTAGATGATCATAAGCAGTGGACATAATCATAAAGTGCTAGTAGCGAGTATTTGAAGGCAGTATGACAGTACATAGAAATCCCAGTAGGACATGGTGGAATTTAATATTTTATTTATTTTATTTTATTTATTTGACCACAAAAGAGTATAGTCAGAGTTGGTAAACAGCTTATCAGACCGTCTATACAGGCTGGTGCAGGCTGCTGATGGTAGTCCAGGGGGAGCAGGCCTTGCCACAGTTCAGCTGTTAGAAGCGGCTCCTAATCAAAGGCCTGGTGGAAGAGCTCCGTTTTACAGGCCCCGAGGAACTGTAAAAGGTTCCACAAGGCCCTGATGTCTTCCAGGAGCTCATTCCTGGCCCTGGTTGAGGTCAGCCTGGCATCATTGGGTCCAGGGAGGGCCAAATGATTTTGAGACCCCGACTGCAGTGGTCTCTGGGGAACATGTGGGGAAAGTTGTATCTGAAGAAGTGAGCAGTGACTCACGAGAGCTCATACCCTGCCACAAATTCTGTTAGTCTTTATGGTGCTATTGGACTCTTTGCTCTTTCCTCTTTCTCAAAATACCATATTGGCATGGGGTGGTGACTACTCCCAGTTAGGGCTGCCAAGTCCCCCCCCGGGGGGGGGGGGATTCTCCCGCTAAAAGGGCTCCCAATCTGCCGGTCTGGATCCAGCCGGCAGGGGGAACCCCACCCCAGAAGTGGCCAGATCAGGCCGACGTGCCCGGCGTGATGACATAGCCCGGAAGTGACGTCATCACACTGGGCACATCACTGGGCGATGCTCTAGCAATTGCCCTGAAAACTGTATGGTGCCATAGAGTTTTTAGGGAGATTATCAGAGCGTCGCCCGGCAACGTGCCCAGCGTGATGATGTCACTTCCGGGCTACGTCATCGCGGCGCGTGTGCGCAAGGACTCCCAGAGAGGGCCCTGAACTCCGCTATTACTTCGGTAAGACTTGGCAACCCTACTCCCAGTCCATAGGGTTGAACAGCTATCACAGCATGAGGATCATCGAAGATTAGCGCGGGGTGGGGGGACAGAAGAAACCCTATGTCCTCAGATCACTCTCCCGTCAAAAACCACAGTGTTCAATGCCAAACATCTTTTGGGCCTTCAATTCAACTGAGTCAGTTGTTACAGAAGAGCGAGATGTTTAAAAGACCTTTTCTCCTTTATCATGCAACGTCCCCTTTATACCATTCTATTATCATCATAGTCTGTGTGGACACCCAGGATGTCTTGCATGTCGGCATAAGGAAATTCTCTGCGAAGAACAAGCTTCACGTGCTCCACGGAAAGTACACCTCCATTTTTTACTTCATGGTACATCTAATTAAAAGGAAAGGGAGCGAAAGAGAGAGAAAAAAGAGGTAACCTATTGAAATGTTCCTATTATATTAAATCTTTACCACCAAACTCTGCAAGTGGGTTTCTGCCACCCAGTCACAGATCTATTCAGTTTAGTTTATTACCCAGTTTCCAGCAGTATCCAGGAAACTTTAATATCTTCAACCAATTAAACTTCAATGAACTGTTCTCACTCTTAAATTAATCTACCGTATGCATTTCTATGCACTAAGGGAAAGGGAAGGTATTGGGTGGGGAAGCAATGAATGAATGAAAGCAATACATTTTCTACGTAATTATGTGCATTCACCTGGCTTTCTTCCAGTACCCAACCATGAACTGGGTCAAGCAACCAAGACAGATATTTACACAATAAAACTGTCATGTAGACTATTCCATAGCAGAGTGCTAGAAATATGCGTGAATTGTCATACACAGAGTCATTTTAGAAATATTCTAGCCGTCTGAGCAGAGCTATTATATTTGGCAAGTGGGGACATAAAAAAAATCTCACTGCTATAAATTAGCTGTTAATAAACTTGGGCTGGAAATTGGCATACAACTCCAGAACCATCCCCCTTGTAATAGCTTTGGGGGAAAAGGAACTCGGCTGGCTTTGAGAAAGAGAGTTGTATAGAACCCAAGAAATATTATTTTATTTGGGCTGGGTGGGTACAGAAGGACTTGTTTCAATCCTTGTTTAAGCATCTTGACTTCCCTCATCCTCAATGGCATCAGCGAGTGTGACACAGTGAAGTAATATTCACTCCCATCACTGTACCATTTATTCCGTAGGAGTTCTTGTCAAGACTTGTGCATATTACCCTAGTAGTGACACACAGGGCTACACTGCCTGGATATAAGAACAGTCACGCTACATCAGACCCAGGTCCACCTAGACCAGCATTTTGTTTCGCACAGTGGCCAGAAATGTCTCCAGGACGCTAATAGGCAAGGCACAGAGGCATCGGATTTCACGCAGCTGTTGTCCCCAAGCAATGGGTGGTCAAAGTTACACTGCCTCCAATGTTCCCTCTAAGCTGTGGAGTCCTTTGAGCAAAAATTCTACTTTGTGAGCTACTGGCATTAAAGTTGTGAGCAGGTGATTTGGTTACTGCATAGATTAGTTTGCACTGGAGCCATCCTTCCTGAGCTAAGACAAAAATGTGTGAGCCGGAGGCTAAAAAACTCTGAGCTAGCTCACACTAACTCAGCTTAGAGGGAACACTGACTGCCTCTGAAGTTCCATTTAGCTCTTGTAGTTAGCAGCCTTAGGCTTGCCAGTTCCTCCATGAATTGGTTCAGCCTCCTTTTATTCAAACACAATGGCCAGTTTCTGTGTTGTGTGAAGTAGTATTTTCTTTTGCCTATTCTAAATTTAATGCCCTTCAGTTTCATCAGGGGAATTCCAAGTTTGAGTGTCATACACCTCTGACAGGCTCTGCGCCATCTTTTTTTCTTTCTTTCTGAACTAAAAAGTGACAAAGGTTTCGTTCTTTGAAGGGAAGGGAAGCTCCATCCTACCGATCATTTTGCAGCATCTTTATCAGCTTTACTTACTGAGATGAGGCAATCAAACTGTACATCATATTTCAAAGACACCAAAAGGCATTTCAAGCCTGGCCACTGTGCTTTCAGTCATAATCTCTTTGCACGGAATCTGCCTTTTCTGCTGTTACCGGAATTGTTTTCCCCCCTGGATTTGCTCTCGCACTCAGTGCTTCAATGGAAACCATATTTTGGTATAGGAGGAAGATTCTATCTTCTCCCTCCATGCCTGCCACCATATCAGGTAGTAAATTGGTAAGTTTCCTTTTCTTCCACTTGATGTATGCCTCACGGGTTGATTATTTGTGTCATCTTGAGACCTGATCTACCCCCTGTGCCTGTCTAGACAACCAGCAGGAACTGATGTGCATGATGTGCAGAACAGCTAGATTTGAGTCCAACAGAACTTTAGAATACAAGAAGATTTTTGGGATATGAACTTTCAAAAGTCAAAGCTCTAAGGTTCTGCTAACAGCCTCAAACCCAGCTGTATCTTGAAGCAGTGAACCAAAATTACTTCTGGTCCTCTCTGATTAGGATCTTTGTAGTTGTGCACAGGGAACATCAGGTTGTTCACAAGGAAGCATGTGAATAAGGTGTTATGATAAGAACAAAACTGGGCAGGAAGGGGGGAAAAGGTATTTTTAAAATAAAGAGTGCATTTCCATAGCCTCCAAATATGAAGAGACCGTGTTCTGTGGCTACTTCATACCTCTAGGAAAGCAAAGGTAACCCTGAGGCAAGTATGAATTTTCATCTGTTTACAGCACTAACATTTGTTGTGGTGGTGAAGGCTTTAGCAACGTCCACTTCATCTGCAACGTAGTTAAAGGCTCTCCACAAAGCTACTCCTGCATCCTTATTTCCATCAACCTCTTCATCAGTATTTAAGATGAAAACAAATCCAATTCTGCTCAGGAAAGATGAAAATTGCACAAGAATCACACAAGACCATATGTTCAAAGCAGATTAACAAAGGTTGCTTTAGATACACACAAACACACACATTGACATTTTTAATGGCAAGCAATTCAAGATACGAGTCTCAGAGGAACACAGCATTTAAAATATTTGGAGTCAAATGTTGTATTACAACATCCCACTAGTGACTTTGGTGGTCTAGGCAGGCAACCAAGGAGGTACATTTGAAGGCTGAGTAGCTTAAACCAGTACAAAAACACTTGCCTGACCAGTTTTTTGTAGATGTATAGCAGAAAACTGCCAGAAACATTTGTTGTTAGCATATACAAGGCATCCTCCATTACTGTACCTGTGGTCAGTGCTTTCACCTATGTGCTAGATATACAGGCACTTGAGGAGGGGAGACAATGGGTTCAATCCAACCCACTTTTCGACTGGTGAAAAAAGGAGGAGGAGTCCCCTATGACTGTCCAAAAAGACTCTGCTGGGGATCATGAGGCCAGCACAGACAAAAGCCATGTTGGATGTGGGCTGAAATAGGGCAAGATTGAGTGGGAAAGGAGGCTGGATCCAACCCAGCATACATTGCTTTCTACACCCACTTGAGGTGGCGATGGGAGATCTTGTGAATGGAACTCCCCACTGTTTTTTTTAATATAAATTGCAACTGCACAGACCCCTAGTTCTGATTCAGCGTGCAGTGCCAGGGGGAGGGGAGGGAAGATTCCACTTCCATCCCACATCATTTTTGCAGTCTGATTAAAAAAAAAAAATAGGCAGAAGATGTTTGGTCCTCCATTTGGGCCACCTCTCCTTTCTGCTCCAAAATTATAGATGTGTGTTTGAACTCATTTAGATTAATTTCACGCTGGTAGCTCACCTCTAAAAATTGGTTCACACTTCCAAAACACTTAACCCAAAACTTTGGAAAAATTGCGGGGATATAGGAAGCTACCTTCATTGTTGTATCTCCTGACCTAAGATTACCCCTTTTGGGGGATCTATACTGATACAGATTAAGTCCATTACAAATCTAGATCTTACTCTTACGCCAGAACATTTACTCTTGGGAGACTGGGAATCTTTGACGAGCTCATACTCACTTAAAGAAAGGGTGCCTTTATTATTGTACGCAGCAAGAAACACTATTGCATTAACTTGGAAATCATCACAATCTCCTACAGTCTCACAGTGGCATCAAAAATTATGGAAATTATACATCATGGCGAAGCTCACAGATAATCTGGATAACCTGCTTAGGCGTTCTAGACAGTCCTATTTTTCCTCTATATGGTTACCTATACTTGAGTATTTGTTGTCTCAAGGGGAAATTCTTCAATTGTAGTTGATCTTGGATTATAACGATCTTTCTGTTTTACATACTGATTGCACAGTTATGTTTTAACAATATATCATAAGAACATAAGAACATAAGAGACGCCAATGTTGGATCAGGCCAAAGGCCCATCCAGTCCAACACTCTGTGTCACACAGTGGCCAGAAATACCAGTGCCATCAGGAGGTCCAGCAGTGGGGCCAGGACATTAGAAGCCCTCCCACTGTTGACCCCCCCCAAGCACCAAGATGACAGAGCATCACTTGCCCCAGAGCCCCTATCTATACCTTGTGGCTAATATCCACTGATGGACCTCTGCTCCATATGCTTATCTAATTCCCTTTTGAAGCTGTCCATATCAGATAGAATGGTTACTGTTCGCCTGCTCAGAGACATGTTGAGGTGCTATGTTTATATTCTGCTTTACAAAATGTATGTGTATTCCTCTATTTTAACATACTTCTCCTGTATTGTTACTTGTTCTTTGTTAATTCTTAACAATAATATGTTAATTGCAAAAAAAATAAAATAGGTAATTCATGGGGACTTTATTTCGCTCCCCATGGGAACACAGAGCATTTCTGGGGAGTGAGAGGATTCAGATAATGTACATGGCATAGAGGAAAGAGCTGAACACCTTCCGTTTGCATGCTGCATGCTGACTGCAATTTAACAGGAGAGAGAGAGAGAGGAGCAGAGAGAAAGCGAGAGCTGTTTATGGAGCTTCTATTGTCTTGTCTACTTTGACTTTGCCTGCTTTCTTCCTTGAATAAACAAGCATAGGGGCCTGTTGCCAAAATAGCCTCAAACAGGATTAAACTTCCCAAACCCATTTGAAGGGTTTGCCAGGTCCCTGGCCACTGGTGTGGAATGGGGGCAAAGCTCCCTCTTAGGTGTGGAGTCTTGTGAGCAAAAAATTCTACTTGGTGAGCTACTGGCATTACAGTTGTGAGTGAGCGATTTGGCTACTGCATACATTAGTTTGCTCTGGAGCCATCCTTCCTGACCTAAGACAAAAATGTGTGAGCCAGAGGCTAAAAAAAAATGGGAGCTAGCTCACAGTAACTCAGCTTAGAGGGAACACTGGATGGGGGTAGGGGGTTGCCAGATCCAGATTGGGAAACTACTGGAGATTTGGAAATGGAGCATGGTGGGGGACAGGGACCACAGTGGGGTACAATGTCACAGGGTCCACCCTCCAAAGCATTCATTTACTCCAGGGGGAACTGATCTCTGTAGACTGGAGACGACCTGTGATTCTGGGGGATCCCCAGGTTCCACCTGGAGGCTGGCACCCCTACCCATGTGTGAACACTGATGATGCTTTGATGACTGCCGGGTCCTTGCGGAGGTAGCTCGAAGACAGAGCCACCTTCACAGCTACCTCTCTAAAGCCGAGGGTTTAGCAACCAGCCCACATTTCTGCCGCACTCAGTGTGGCTCACCAGAGAACCACTTTGGGCGCTCTCTCCATCAGCTTTCCTGTTCTGCTGGCCAGGAATGCTGAATGCAGCTGGAAGCTAAAGGAGGTGTGTCCCCCGGAGACAGAAACTGGGCACGATTAATTCTGATTCTGCAGCTGAAATCCCATTTGATGGTGGGAAAGGAGGAGTATAAACATTTTAATAAACCCTATAGATAGATGGGTGGATGATCAATGCTGCAAAATATAGATCGTGCATACATGATCTATTGACAGGGCAGAACATTTTCTGCCATGGGAAACCCTGGTTCCCATTAAATGCACTTAGAGCAGGATTTCATTCTGTCTGTTTGTAACAAAATGGCACCATAAATTTTTTTTAGAAACAATGATATTGAAATTACCTTATAGGTACCCTTTGATTGTAGATTACTTCTACGAGTTTCATGAAGGCAAGCGCCTCTTCCTGCAGTGGGTCAATAAAGAGGACCTAACAGGAGAAAAGGTTTCACAGGTCTAACACGATGTTCATCTCACTTTTCTGTTCCCTCGCTGACTTGAAAGCCACAAGAGAGCACATGCGCACGCACACACACGAAACAAGCTCTGACTAAGGGAATTAACTTGTGTCTGGACTCTCCCATTACTGCAGATGATGAACTAGGGTTGCCTACCACGCAGAGGCCGGAGATCTCCCACTATTACAACTGGTTTCCAGGCGACAGAGATCAGTTCACCTAGAGAAAATGGCCGCTTTGGAAGGGGGACTCTATGGCGTTATACCCGATGGAAGTCCCTCCCCAAACCCTGCCCTCCTCAAGCTCCACCCCCAAATCTCCAATTTCCCAGACCCAGAGCTGGCAACCCTAATGGTGGCTCACGTGACAGAATGCCCCTCCTCACAAGAAAATTCCTGTCAGAGAGAAATCTATACGCTAGAGACAAAGGTTCTAGGCAGTTTGTTTTTACTGCTTGACTGATTTCACACAAGAGATGCGCCATGGTTGCGCCTCCCTTTGCCCCGCTTCTATTGGTCAATTTCCCACTTGAAGCTGCATGGCCGCATTTTGACCCGCAGCTTCGCCCAATTTTCCCCACGGTTTCGTGATCCTGATTTTTGAGGATCAGAAAACCGTGGGGGAAATCGGGCAAAGGGAGGTGCGACCGTGGCGCAGCTCTTGTGTGAAATCGGTCCTTGTCTTTATGCAGCTGCCTCGAAAAACGTCTCTGGAGAGGCAACATATACGTTTTTCTGAATAAATAATTAAAAAATTAATATAGCTGTTCGCTGGCATGCTATTCTGAACCCTCTATTATAGTCTAAACTGGCACAGCTCAGGTACAGGTTTACCATATAAACGAGAGCTATGCTGGAATGAACTATGTAGTCTCACACATTCCCAATTAAATAGCTAGGAATGTTGTTTTTTTTAAAAAGAAAGAAAGAAAAAGTGCAACTTTAGAATGCATGAATTTGCACTAAATAATTTGGCTCTGAGCAGTAAACAGTAATAGAATTGTCATTCTAATTCTGCTCAGAAACCCAAAACTTGTGTGCCTATCAATACCTGCACTAAACCTCTTCTTCCCGGCAAAGAAGAATCAAATCTAAAATATATACAATCGATAGGTACGTTTTGTGCACAGTTTGTGTTTTTACTCTTGGAAAAAATATTACTCTTGACTGATATATTTTTATTTTTCAATTCGGCAGGGTGTTAAGTACTTCAGACTGGTGCTCAAATTCTTAACTCATACCCAGTGCCACGCGGGTGCACCTATACAACCCTATGTGACAATTGCCGCCGAGAAATGAACTCTGACTGCCACCGCCTTTTCAAATTCATGCAGGCAGTAGCAATCAGGTTGAGATAAGCTGTGTCACGTAAACCGCATTAGGATTTAATACAGTATTTAGTTACACTTCCAGACAGACTTCAATAGGCTCTTTCATAGTTAAATGTACTTAAATTAAAAGTCTAATCATAAGGGAGAATAGAACTCTGCTTTCTCTGCAAGGATAAATTGAAGATTTAGTATTTAAAAGTCACCCAACCATAAAGCCGCACGTTTTAATGTCCTGTCCTAGCAGGAAGGGTACAAAATTTGGTTGTAGCAGCCCAAACATGATGCATCAACACTGGTATTCACACGACTGCTTTCTTTGGACTAATACAATCAAAGTGCCTGCTCCTTAGCAGACTGGCTAGAAAAGAATGAGTGGGTGACCTGCAGATAGAAGTTCATTTGAATGCTTTCAGAAATTTTAATTGACATTTAACTTCTAGAAAGAACAATAGCCTTGCAAAATAGGGCCTTTCATAATTAGGTAACTCCGGTTCTCAATATAAACCCTTACGCCTCTTTCCGGGCTCGCTCCCTGCCCCAAAACTGGAACGGCCTACTATCACCCACATGAGTTCAGCAAGCAACAGACATGCAAAGTAAGAGGTGTGGAAAAGCTGATTTGAAATGGCCGATTTGTTGCACAAATTGAAAGTACTCACTCATACTAGAGCACCCCTGGATTCTCTTTGGGCATAGGCCGATTCACAAATTACTGTTGCAGCACAGGATTCATTTCCACATGGTCAAGGACTGTGCTGCAGGAGTAAACTTTGTACATGAAACTTTATGTAGTAATACCCGAAGGCCCTCCAACTGCAATGGTGACATATCACCCCACCCACAGAGGCTCAACAGATGAGGCACATGAACTCCAAAGGATTCGGTCCTGTGGCCCCAGTTTTCTGGCCATTCATTCTGGGCTCCCTGGTTTCTGCCAGGGTGGGGCCACGAGTCTGCCCAGAATTACAATGACCTTCAGGCTACAAGTTCCCCTGGAGAAAATGACAACTCTGGAGGGTGGACTCTTACATCCCATCCCTTCTGAACTCCTTCCCCTCCACTAACACCGACCCAAAATCTCCAGGGATGCCCTGACCGCAACTCAAGTCTCAGGCACCACATGTAACGAGTAGAAGCTAGCAATGAGGACTGTATATACATCTTCTTAAGGCTGAGGAGCAACAGCATATTGCCTTAAATAAACAGGAGTCTTGCAGGACCTTGGAGACTGACAGATTTGTATTCTAGCACAAGCTTTCATGTCCTACACTTTGAACTTGTACCTGGCCGTGGACTGCAATAAATTATACTCATTCATGCCCCACTTCAGAAGTACTGAGATGGTTACTTATACCAACAGCATGATTTTTAGAAAGTGAATTTTGGTATAAGAATTGTCTGAGTATAAGATAAATGGATATATAGGGTGAGGAAGCATCAAATGAAGTAATTTGAGTTGATTGTGGAACAAAATTATTTTGATATATTATTTTTGTCTATGATATATTGCTTTGCTAGTTATACCTGTGTTTGTAAAGTGAAATGATGTAAAGGATTAAGTAGGGTCTTAGAGACTCAAATGATGGAAAGGGTAGAGTAGTCTTAGAATATAAGAAATAATGAATTTAATGACAAGTTTGAATTAAAGGGAAGGTACTGGATTTAAAGTCAAGTTGGGACTAAAAGGAATGTATTGGAGTAGCTTTCTCCAAGGGAGCAAATATGAAGAAGGTTTAGGGAGAGGAGAAAGAGGGAAATTGAAAAGTTACTACTATTGGATGCGTGTAATTGCAAGTTTGTATTTTTGGTGATGGTATAGAGGGAAAAGTTTGCGTTGTAAGGTATGTGAGGTACAGTGATTTAACTAATCAAGAATACTATTATTAACAATTGTAAGTGAATATGTATTAAAATTGGAAATTAATAAAAAAATATATATTTTTTAAAAGTACTGAGATGGGCCAGCCCTCACTCGGCAGATCTTCAAGGTCCTATAAAACCCGTTTGTTTTCGCTGCTGAATTTTTGGCATGCTGCCCTGGAGCTCCAATCTCCAGAAAGGGAGCTCTGGCAGCTTCACTCTAATGCTGCATCACAAGATGGTACTTTTACAGAAAGGGCAGTATTCAGGTTTGAGCCAGGAGGTACCAATTAAAAGGGTTGTCGGTATTGAGGCTCCCACGGGGAGGTAATCAAAGAGCCCTTTCCTACGGTGGCAATCCAGACTTGCATGAGAAAGGGGGAAGCAACGTTTTCAACAGTCTTGTCCTGTTCGTTGCCAGTCATATGCAAAGGATGCATGAATGTGCCGGTGGCAGCGGGAATAGGCCAGCCCTGCTCGGTATACATTGCATGCAACTGAATGATCCGTTTCTAAGCGTTATACCCACATACGTGGACAGCTGCTCTACAGGAAACTAGATTTTTAGTGACCTCCACATCCATAACCCCAATGTCTGAACAGACTCTAATTTCAGGAGAAATTCAGCCGCACACTCGCACACTAATACGCACCAAGTTATACAAATTGCGCCGAATCTGTCGCATCATTCCTCTAAATGCTGGCTTAAGAAGTTCCTGAAAACTTGTAGGCCACTTGTCATAGGGCTGATCCTTTTCGATGTCATTGATCCACTGGGGGGGAAAAACACATACCGGTGCTTGCCAGAGGTCACAAAGTTACTAATAAAAATAAGACATTTATAATCAAAATACTCCTGAATATTGCATGCTAATGCCCCTGAGCATGTCACCTGCGTATAAGGCTGCCAATGTGCTTAGGCCTTTTCTAAGCCTTAACTTAACTGAGCAGCAGGTGTTTTTCCATGTGCACACACAAAGCTGCCTTCTACTGAGTCCGACCAGTGGTCCGTCCAAGTCAGTATTGTCTACTCGGACTGGCAGCTGCTTTCCAGGGTCACAAGTCTTTCGTAACACCTACTGCATAATCCTTTTAACTGGAGATGCTTGAGATTAAGCCTGAAGAGCAGATACTTTAGCACTCAACAATGGCCCCTCCCCAGGAGCACTTGCACAGCTGGGAAACCTGAAAGATGACTCAACCATAAAGACAGGCGTAGATCATTCAGGTCTTCTCTACCAAGTCAGTATCGCCGGCAGGGCACCTACTTTTTTTTGGTACAATCTTTTTATTAATTTTCACAAAGAAGTTAACAAATTAATCCTACATGTTTTACCACATCAATGAAAATAAACCATGCAGATAATAAGTTAATAAATTAATCAGTTCACCTCTCTATTATATTTTTTGCCTCATCAGTTTTTCAAATCGTGCAATTCATGTTTCTCCATATAGCTCCCACAACTATTTCTCACATACTATCCACGTTGACCAATTGATAATAATAATTCCCTATAAATCTGTAATTGTTTACCTTCCCATGGAGCTAAATTTACCATTATCCACCTCTACTCTTTTATAAAAATCATTTATGAGCCATTCCATTACGAGAAATTTGATAGGTTAAGTCCTAACTAGATCTAAATATTGCCACACCGCCTCGGGTTGTTACCTAATACTAATTCATTTTTATCAGGACCCGTCTCCGGCCCACTTATGATAATATACATGCAAAAAACAGTTCTACACAATAGACAAATTTGTAATCACATTGCACTTTCCTTCCCAATCCCCATTAGAACAAAAGTCAATACACATGCGCATGCTCTGCCACAGAGAGGCGTCATATTATAAAGGTTCTTAGCTATTCTCCTCCCTGTGGCATTACATTTATAATTTTCTATTAAATAAAAAAGAAAAAGAAAAAACAAACTGCAACAAACATGAAACAAAAATATACCTAAGATCTCAGCAACTTTTCTTCCTAATTCTACTAATCAACATATCACAAAATCCACCACCTTATTATTACAACTGATTATTGCCCTTCTACTCTACAAAAACAAGTCCATACCAACTGTTTCCTTGTTACCTAGTTTAGGGACTGAAAAGTTATTATTATTTTTTAATTGGCAGAAGTTACTGCTTATGGGTTATAAGGTATGAGTAATATATTGATAGGCAGGGTACCTACTTTTGTGGTCAGGGCCAGTGTTCCCTCTAAGCTGAGTTAGAGTGAGCTAGCTCACGGTTTTTTAGCCTCTGGCTCACACATTTTTGTCCCAGCTCAGGAAGGAGGGCTCCAGAGCAAACTAATTTATGCAGGAGCCAAATTGCTTGCTCACAACTTTAATGCCAGTAGCTCACAAAGTAGAATTTTTGCTCATGAGACTCCACAGCTTAGAGGGAACATTGAGGGCCTGTGTGAACGACCCCCAGCCCATGCGGCTGCGTCATTAACTGTTTCTCCCTAGATGCACATAGAAAATATGGCTCCCATGGCCTTACTTTTTATTTTAAACCCTTTTATTGCCAAATATGCTACAGCAGCATTTTTAACGCTTTCTACCTTCTGGAAATGTTTTCCACATTGATTTATCTGCCAAGGAACTCCTCAGCACCTGTGAAACAACTGCCACAAATTGCAGACGGTTCTGCAGCATGCTCTACCCGGGCCTATTGAAATGTGAACTGAAAGCACAGAAACGTCCCTGCGGCTACGCATGAATGGGTAATACTGTAACAGTAAGTAGAAAGAACAAAGTCTGTGGCCCCACCCCCCCC